CCCCCGCCTCCTTTGACAGCTGCCCAGCCCAATCCCTCTCCCCTCATTCGGCCCAGCCCACTGCCTCCCCCACCCAATCCCCACCCGACTCACCTACAGCCCCAAACCACCCATCCACCCTTAATCAACACCCCATGCTCACCCGTTCCAAGGCTGGCATCACCCGCCCAAAGCAAATACTCAACCTTAACACCACCGTTCCCATTTCCCCCTTACCCCCCACCTACCGTAGTGCTCTTAAAGATCCAAACTGGCATGCTGTTATGGTTGATGAATTTAATGCTTTGATCAAGAATGACACATGGGAACTAGTACCCCCCTCCCCCCACCAAAATATTATAACCGGTAAATGGCTTTTCCGACATAAACTTGGCCCTACAGGTGAGTTATCCAGGTACAAAGCTCGATGGGTTGTTCGCGGTTTCAACCAGAGATTCGGTGTGGATTACGATGAGACTTTTAGCCCCGTGATAAAACCGGCCACGGTACGGATTGTATTGAGTATTGCTCTTTCTCAGGGGTGGCCCATTCACCAGCTGGACGTCAAGAATGCATTTCTTCACGGGTACCTACAAGAGACAGTTTATGCCACTCAGCCCTCTGGTTTTCAGGACCCGGCCAAGCCTCACTATGTCTGCAAACTCAAGAAGGCACTATACGGTCTCAAACAGGCTCCCAGATCGTGGTACCACCGCTTCGCCAGCTTCATTCAGACACTTGGGTTCCGCAGCTGCAAAACGGACACGTCTCTCTTTGTCTTCACTCGTGGGATGGACACGGCATATTTACTTCTCTATGTAGATGTGTAACAAGAGTGTCGTAGGAGGCTAGTAGAGGAAGTCGTAGAGTGTGTCGCAGAGTTCCCGCTCAAGCGATACTGACTATACCCGCTAGACGTAAAAAAGAACCCGTATTTACATGTAGCGTGAAGGGCACCCGAGAAAGAAGTAGTCTGTGTTAAATAAGTACTGTAAGAACTCGCGCGGCCCTACCAGTGGACGGCTCCCATCTCCACCCCTGTTGATACTAAGTCGAAACTCTCCTCTACTGCTGGGCCAGATGCATCCGACCCCTCCCTCTATCGCTCTCTTGTTGGCGCCTTGCAGTACCTCACATTTACTCGGCCAGACATCACCTATGCAGTTCAGCAGCTCTGTCTCCATCTCCATGCTCCACGAGAGGCACATATGACAGCTATGAAGCGGGTTCTCCGCTATCTCCGTGGCACCACTACATTGGGCATCTCCCTCACTCCATCGTGCACGGACATTTTACAGGCATACTCTGATGCAGATTGGGCAGGCTGCCCAGACACCAGACGCTCTACTTCTGGCTACTGCATTTTCCTTGGTGATAATCTCGTCTCCTGGTCCTCCAAGCGGCAAGCCACCACCTCTCGCTCAAGTGCCGAGGCCAAGTACCGCGCCGTCGCCAATGCTGTTGCAGAGGCCAGTTGGATTCGGAACCTTCTCCTTGAGCTCAGACATCCCTTGCAACGAGCCACCCTCGTGTTCTGCGACAATGTTAGTGCCGTTTATTTATCCACCAATCCAGTCCAGCACCAGCGCACTAAACATGTCGAGGTTGATATTCACTTTGTTCGCGACAAGGTCCCATTGGGACATATTCGAGTTCTCCATGTTCCCTCCTCCCAGTATGCTGACATATTCACTAAAGGACTTCCCTCGGTTCTCTTCTTGGATTTTCGCACAAGTCTGGGAATTCGTCCTCCACCGCAGCCGACGTAGCCGGGAGCATGTTAAATATATTTACCATATTTATTTATGTTAAGTATATTTAATGTATTTATTATTATATCATTGTATTATTGGTAGTTATCTTTTGTATAGGTTTCCTTACTTATACTCCTACCATGATTAAGAGTCCCATCTTGTATATAAATATGGTTGTACTCCTACAGATTTAATCAATAGAAGATATTCATTCTTGAGTTTGAGAGTATATATATGTGGTACATGAAGTTTAAGTAGTGTCACTACTTTCGTGTAGCTCTGGTTTTTTTTGTTCAAAAGATCTCTTAGGGGTTTGAACTTTGAACTAAGTTTGTCCGCTGTAGGTGCACGCACACAGTCACACCACCGCTTTATTACTTTAACCAACGTCATCTAACTGATCTAAGCCTATGGGGTTTTGGTTTGGGGGTTTGAGAAAATTATTCGGGGTCCGTTTGGTATATGAAATTAGAATTGAATTGAATTGAAATTGAAATTTCATGTGATTCAATTCCATAGAATTGAATTCTGCCAATTTCAATTCATTTTTTGCACTATCAATTCCAAGTCCACATAATTTTTGTGATACCAAACACCTGAATTGGAATTAAAGCCCACAATTCCAATTCCATAGTTTGAATTTCGTGTACCAAACGAGGCCTCAATATAAATTTTACTCCATAAGGATAAAACCAGATTGAAAGTCAAATTGAATTTTTCGCCTAAAATTTAATTCAAATGGAATTGAACCAAACTTAACCGTTCATATCGAACATGCTCTCTCGGTTCAACAATCATCTTTCCGTTTA